GCAGTGCCCTTCGGGACCCAATGCTTACCTACGAGAGCTGCCTGCAGTCAGTCAGTCCCTCCGCCCGGCCGACTGGCTGAGAGTCTTCTGGTCGAGAACCCTCCGTCGCTTTTTCGTGCTTTACTTGAGGCTCTCGTCGACATCCGGAGCGTCTCCTGCCTTTTCTTCGTCGGAAACGATTTCGACGCTCGATTTTCCGGCGAGACCGGATTCTGAAGATAAGGTCTATATGAGGTCTTCCCTGATCGAAGCGATGATCTTGCTATGGCTGCTGCTTGCGCACGGGCCCTCCCCGTCGGTCCTTCCCGGTTTATGACCCGGACTATCGCCGCAGCGGGCGAATTCTGGAGAAGCTGCTGCGGCCGCTGTTAGGGGTGTCTGCACTCGCGCTAATTGACGGATACGGCGGGGTCGGACAAGATCCAGAAACGGACACGAGCGAGCATGGAACAAGAGAATCGGGAAATTCAATATCGTCATCATGATAGGGGTGCGAATCCTCCCAATGGGAGCAAACTTTCGGATGGCGTGACACCCAGCGTTCCCTTAAATTATTCCGACGGCTCTGAGTGATCCTTCTTGCATACGATCGATTCCGGAGCTAAGAGCTTTGTGTGCTTAACGTTCATTGTCGTATCCCTGGCCGTCGGAACCGTCGCTTCGTTGATATGGGTCTTGGTCATGATGGTGAATGTTCCGGGGACCGAGAAGCGCAATCTGCCTTCCACTGTGGGGAACGGCTGCCTCCTCTCTCGAATCATGGTAGATCATTGCAATGGTAGACGCCGCGGCTGGGCAATCAATTTCCCCGGAGAAAATGCGCTGATGAACTCCCGTTGATTCGATTCCATTTTCGAGGGCACCCCGCGGTTCTCCAGGGTCCTCGAACTCGATTCGGAATCGATCCCTCCCACAATCAGTTGTTCGCCACGTCTGGAAATCACTCGTCCATTGCTCTATCTGATACGAGCGGAATGTCACTGGAACCACCATTATTCGATTGAGCTTTACTCTGAATGTTAAATCGGAGCCTATGGACCTCCGAGTCTTGGAAAGGGGTACCCTGGAACCTCTAGCGGGACACCTCGGGGCCAGAAGACTATCCAGGAAGATTCGCTCGAGCGGTCCATCTGGAGAAGTTCTGGTCTGAAGGTAGATTTCTGCTGATAGTTTGTTCGCTCCAGAGATCTAACGATCACTGTTATAATGGTAATGATGTGTTGTAGTTGCGGAGCGGTCGCCTTCGGAAAACTAGAGAATCTGATCGTGTGGTCCACTACGTTTATTGCCACTTCGGCGCTTCGCACCGTGTACGAAGATCGCCGAACGTGTAGGATGAGCAGTAAACGGCTTGGTACAGTTATTTCCGCTCTGGCTCTGATTACCGAAAATTGCTGCCAATAAAAGCACATTGACGGTGCAGGTATCCTCGGCCCCGACCGCCTTGCAACAAACTCGGCAGTCTCTAGTCTACTCTCGTCATGCGAATTCCCGACTGTGGAGAACAGGGACTGGGGTACTAGGAATTTGAGGAAAATCTGCTCGAGCACCGACGCGAAATCGTGATCGGTGATCGCGGTCCGTCTGCCAATATCCACGAGGGTGACTGAATTTTCCCCTGTTCTGCCGAGCGAATTGGACGGATTAGAATCTACAGTAGCTCGAGCGCTTGCGCATGAGAGGGGCCCGCAAGAAGTCTCGGAGAACTACCGGAAAATGCGGAGGCGTCATCGGGGGGTGCGTCTAGCCTCACAAGTCGTGTGCCTAATTGGTAGACAGCGCTCAATTACAGACCACCGTATTAGATGTCTCCCATTCCAATGTCCGTAATCCTAATCGTTCCGGAGAAATCCCCCCCCCACGTCTCTCAATGAGGGGACCGATCCGGAGTAAATCGGAGGTCCATCGGTTCGACTTCGTTTCCAATCAGCCTCGTTCATCGATCTCCGGATCAATTATTCGCGTCAGCCCCTTCCACCTGCTCCCGTGACGTCGAGCTCGGTACAGTGATTATCACCTCGCATTGATACGGATTTAGCGCGGCTGTCGCTCGAGCTATCGTCTCGTTCGACTCTTTTCTCTAATGCTAATAAGCAGGCTGAGAGATCCCTTGCGGCTTCAGTGCCGCCCGGAAGAAAGGCAAATCGGCGAGAGATTATCCTTACTTAAATAGGCGACCGATGCGCCGGTCGCGGAGAAGCCGGGGGAGGGGGAAGGGGCATTGAGATCCCCTCCCGGACAAGAAAGGGCAAGGGGGGTAAAGGGACGAGCAACGGAAAATAACAAGATTCGCTCCGAGAGAAGGCGGTCGAGGGGAGCTCGGCGTGAGAGGGAGTCGAGGACAAAATAAATGAAGGGTCTCGCTGCCTAGTCGTTTTCCAGCCCCGGCTGCAGGTTTCGAGAGCGCGCCACAAAAACCTCTGTCTCTCCTCCCGACTCGTTGTCGCATCGGCGTCCGTCGTTGGCTTCGATCTGGGCACCGCACCCGCTGCGAGGAGCAGTGCTCAAGTATAAAAAAGCAGGAGCTGCTCTATTACGCGGCGTGTTGATCTTCCGGGTGACGATTCCGTGTGCCTCATTCCCGATCGTTTGCGCTCCGTATACTACTACTACTACGTGTCGAAGGTTATACGCGGATCGATTTATTGACTCGGCGGGCTATATTGATTTCCTGATGCTGTTTATCAGCTTGCGGCCGAGTAAGTAAGCAAGTGAGCGTGATGCAGGTGCAGCGGGTGTCGCACCATCGAGAGCGGTGGTTTCCAGAGGGTGTTGAGTAGGATATTAGGAGTTTGTTTGTGTATTGTATTGCGTAACGAATATCAGCGGCGGGTCCCGCTCCGGCTCGGGGGGAACGACCGTGTGCGGGAGCGGGACGGCCTCATTGCCTACGTCGACGACGTCTTCGCCGCGTATGAATATATATTTTGTGCATACGTTCGAAAACGAAACTTTTTACTACAAGCCGGGCCCGATCGCATCCCGGTGGCGGCTGCAACTCTTGAGGTCTTTGTCAACTGGCGTAGCCAAGCGTCGGCTATACGACGAGAGCCATAATAAAATATCTTACTTATGGCTTGTAGGCCGTAAAGCCGAGGCTTGCTTCGAGCTCCGGTCACCTTGCCCGTTCGCTGACATCGAGCGAGACGCGACCATTCACTCGAGCGGCAAGAAACGAGGGAACGGCCCGGGGAAAGCGAAGCTGGAGGGAACCGAGCCCTTGCATGCACACGCCGAATAGTGAACTCCGCATCGCTATGGATCCAGCTTTGTTAGCGTTCTCGTGGTATTCACCTGTTTCTTTGACCGGGGACGACGACCGGGTCGCCATTCGTTCTGTGCTGCCTCGCCTGGGTGATTAGAAATGAATACGAACCCAACTTCCTCGACCAGTCGACTGGAGCCAGTCGCTATGTTCGAGTCGCGACTCCGACGAGAAGTCGCTGTGAGCGCCTTGCTGAGTCTGTCGTTGGGGCTCAACAGCGACAATGGCCCCTGCGCTGCTGGCTCCAAGGAGTCTGGCATCCTTCGTGGCGTCCTCCTATCTAACGGCATATCAGAGAGACATCCATCGTTGATTGAAAACGAGCCAAAAATACTTACCACAAACATGGCTTGAAGGTGAAGCCGTAAGCGACGAGTTCTTTGAACCCGGCTGAATACAAAGCCCTCTAAGAACGTGGCCTCGAACGAACCTCAAAAATCACTCACGGGCATAATTCCTTGTCACAGGAGGAAAATTTCGACGAATCGATCCCCGTCAGTTTCCGCGAGCGGTACAGACACCGAATCCGCCTGGAACTCACCACGACGAGTGGACGACCGACCACGATGGTTCTCGCTCGAGCTGCAGACCACAAACGGAATGACAAGCAAATGTGTTCAGGTGCAAAAGTGGCAACTTTTCCTGAAGCACAGAGAACTGCTATCGCGTCCTCCTGCGGCACAATAAATCTCACTTGCGCAAATTGTATCAGGGACGATGAATTGTCGATTCCCTCTGATTGAGGAAGGCACTCGCGAAGTCGACGACGACGGCCGCCGTTTCGGCTAGGTTGGCCCACAACAATAATTCTTCCCGTGGCTGTCTTCCCTAGGCTCCGAGCTTTTATGGACAAATTATGATAAGCAAAAACGAAGAACCCGGTCACTTGGAAGGACGAAGAAATGTCTCTTTGTCGTCCAGATTCAGAGTCCCGGGGTCGCAACCGGCGAACCGAACGTTTAGCCTTCTTGCATCGGATTCCCAGCCCTTGCACAACAACTCGGAAGGGGAGAAGGGGTGATTGAGAATAAGTTGAGCCTCACTGCAGTATGCCGAGAGGTTTTCGGATAATTACGATAATAATTATTCAATGAAGCACAAGCTCGCTCCCGGCCTCCTCATGAGCCCGACCTGAGCCATGAGCCCGCAAACATTCTCGAGGAGGTCTCGTCCTCCGGGGTTTGCACGTTCTCTGTGAAAGCGGGTACCCCACAATCTAGCGAGGAGGGGACCTCGATTCCGAATCTTCCGGGTTGGGTAGCTTGTCTGAGCATGATGTCAACTTATTTGATGTCTTCGACTCCTCTCCCTTCTCGCTATTCGCAACGTTCGCTGTATGAAGCAGTCGAATTGGAGTCGTGATTCAGTCGTAGGAAATGTTTCCGGAAGCGAGACAATTGGCGGCGGAGAGAAGCTACGAGGAGCGTGCTGTAGGTCGTGAGTGCATCGAGAAGTTTGGCTGGGGCCGAGCGACCAGGCACTGTCTGACGTTCTCTTGTATCGCCTCGAGTGTCGAACTGCGACGAGACGCAGACGCAGAGTGTTGAGCGATTGATACGTTGTCATTGAAGCTCCATTGGGAGGAGAGTTGTGGTAGCACCTGAGCGGCAGAAGAAACTACCCGAAGGGAATAAGAATTTCCGAGGAAGGAGGAGGCCTCTGAAGGATATCGCGCCTGACCAGTCACAGTCCCTGCTGGTGCTTGAAGTACTGTATGTCACTTCTCTCGTTGCAGACGTCATGGAGGCTGAGACGGTATTTGTACTAGCAATTTTTTCCGTCTTCTTCGTGGTCGGTGCGTCTCTCTTCTATTACGCTTGCTGTGTCACCGACAATGAGGAAGCTGTCAAGAAGCTACGGGAGTCCTTGAAGCGTCGTCGTAGCTCCGTCAAGGTAAGACCACGCCGCCGCTCCTGCCACCGCTCCGAAGCTGAACACTCCACAGGAGAACAAAGCCGAAACTCACGGAGCGCTATTCTATCTCTCATTACGTCTATTCATTCTCCTTTTGTTAGTCCTGGCCATAGAAAAGCGCTGTGTTTGAAGATCCGAGATCGCTAACTCAGCTCGATTGTCTTCTATTTGTTTAGATCTCGATGACAGCCATGTCGCAGTTTCCTCATACGATAGCGCCGGTCCGAGATAGCAGCTCGGTCGGTATTCAAGTCATGCCACCCACGCCAGAAGTTTTCCAGCCTCCTCCCGAATTCAGCGAAGGTAGGTTCCGCTCAGTGTATGATAATTTGATGAGTGATGAAGTGAGACTGGCGCCGTGTCTTGTGTGAGCAAAAGCCTGTACTGAGCGAAACCCGAGACCATGATTACCGATCTCGTCCTGCATCTCCCAAGGAACCAGCCGCGGCCACAGCTAGAGCAGTCCACGGCTGACCTAAATTCTCGGCTCCATTCGCTTGCAGTAAAGGTACAATTCCGAACGTGTCCGTTAAGTATTCCTTAATATTCTGGAATTGAGAGGAAGGGTCCGCGTTTATCTGATTTAGATCGACTCGAAGAGCTTCCTTCATCTTCGCATCGCACAAAGATCGCTTCGAATCCCTTTGGCGAATTCCTTTCTGCATACTGGCCAGCCTCTCGATTATTGAGTGGAACGCTCGACCAGTGAATTCTCGCTCACTCAGGCTTGAATGCTGTTCTGAGAATACTTCTGATATCTGCCGGAAATATCTCCCTGCTCTACATTGGTCCGCCATATTTGTGGTTTTATTGGCGAGTTGCGGGAACTCATTACCGTTCCGTGACCCGATGGTTTCCTCTGCTGCTCCCTTAAGGCTCTGCCAATCTCAGCGGCACATGCGTGGTCCGTACGCGGGGCAACTGAGTATTCGATCGTGTCCTTGCGTCGAGCCGCAGAGTATCGGCTTAAGTTCGAGTGTGTTTAACTTTGCAGGCAGTTCCTCGAGTATGACCCCGAATCGCACACCGTCTCCTGGTGCAAGGACCGGAGAGGAGCACAGGAACTCGATCGATTGTTCGAACCACTCGAACGTGTTGTCACTTCTACTTCAGGAGTACCTCAATAGCTCCGTCGGAGCCAAGGGGAACGCCAACAGCCACTCGAACAGCAGTAGCATCTCGTCAACCGGTGGATCTCCAAAGGTCATCCATCTGTGAAAACCGTCCATCTTAATCTTCTGCGATCAGGGTTCGCTATCATCTCTCGCTTACATCCTCTAGTCTTCGGCTTCTATTCGACTCTTGGTTTGCCCTTCCGATCGGGCAGCACTGAGAGCTCGACTTCGGGGCCCGTTGCGCTCATTCGGGCGAGCGGCGACGTAGGATTGAGAATCAGCGGTCGAGTTTGGCCATTGTTCAGCAAACCTTATGCTTCTTTGTATATAACCGGCCTGGATTTGTTCAGGACAGCCAGTCGAATGGATATGCTGCTGTGAGCTGAATAGATACACATAGACATGAACTGGGTACCTTTGATGGCGTAGAACTTTAGATTAGAAAGGAGAAATGGAAATAGTCTGTAGGAAAAACAATCACCGCTCGGTGAGGGAATAATGCGGAATCTCGGGATAGTGAGGATCTTCCGAAGACGGTAAGCATGATGCAGTTTGGGATCAGTCCTCTCGTCAGAGAGAGGAGCGTACCGGAGAGGGAGAAGAAGTCTCGTATCGATTTTGTACATATCGGAATAGGAGGTATTTGTCTCCGTTGCTATTGTCGATTTCTATAATTTATTCAATGCGCGAATGTATATTGTGATAACTACTAATGAATGATTAATCGACGTGTTTGCCGAATAAAAGCCGGAATCGATCATGACAAAACCAATAACTGGCCTTCCTGTTCATCACCGACAAGAATGTAAGGAGCACCCACCGAAGGAATGACGTTCGTATGTGTGCGGAACGAGCGTTCTCCTTCCCTCAGGGACATATCTGCGCTCATCAATTCAATTTCACCTAGGACATGGAGCATTCGATTCCGTCTCGAAATCATGGAGCTTAAGACCTCAATTAGTCACAGCGAGGGATATCCAAGACGAAAACGCCACGGTCGCGCTGGAGCGAGGGACTCCCCGCGTAACGGGAGACATCTGAAAACGTGAGTCATTTGCGCGTTGGTACCGCACAACTCCCCGTAGCACCAGGTGGGAACCAGACTGTTGGACGACTCTAAAGCAGGGGAGCATGGCGGGTAGCGCTTCCCCTTACGAAGTGACGGTGCTGATCGGGTTAAATTCCTTTGTTCTCAATTTGGCGGAGCAATGGTGCTGGTATGGCTGCAGCAGCCGACGACGCTGTTCTCTCTGATCGTGTTCTCCTCGCTATGCACATTCGCCTATTCCGTGTCAGAACTCCTACGAATTCCCTCGAGGTTGCACACACCCACGAGGAGCGAGTGAAGGGCATGACCCCAACAAACAGATAGATAGACCTCGGCCGACAGGCGAACGTAGGAACGAGTACGACACACGGACGGGTGCACAACCAAAGCCTCCCCACCACCTCCTTTTGCCCGGTTTCTTTTCTCCATTATACGCTTAAGCCGAGTCTATTTCGTTTCAGATATTCCCTCGTTTCGTTCCGCGACTTAGTCCCTTGCGATTGGGTGTAGCCAGCTCATGTAGCTATCGAGCGTCCAGCCCGTCCTCCCGCGAGCAATCGGAGGCGGGCGCGCGAATGGGGACAAAAGATATATACTTTGCATACAGGGAATGTGGGTTTTCGAACGAAGCAATATCTCAAGGTTAGGATCAGTCACTCGAGCATGCTCAGAAATCTTCAGCGATTCAAGAGGAAGGTCAGGATGAGCTCACTCAGCTCATCTTCATTCAAATCGTATCCGGAAGAAAAAATCAAAACTGGCTTCGTTGAGGTAACAGACAAGACTCGCGTTTTTCGAACGTGGCCGAGGATCAGAGGTTTTCGTCGCGCTCGAAGGTCACGAACGAGATCGTTATGATAGCCGAGCGTGGCCGCGCGTACGACTTGAATGACATGATATTCAGCCCCTCGAATTCTTTCACTAGCTCTCCGGAATGCCCTACACGTGTTGACATCAAGTTGGGCGTGCAGTCCTACCCCCTATTTTCGGTGAGCCCGCTAGTTGATGATGATTGCACCAAGGCTGACACTTGACTCCGTATCGTGGTTCTGGACCTATGCATTAGGATTCATCTGGCACCCTTCTCTCGAAGCGAGAAGATAACCGTATGCCCTCGACTTGCATGACCACAGCCCGGGAAGCTTCTCTCCGTGCTCTGAAACCTGTCATTCCACGATGATCCCAATCGACAAGTGGGTCGGACGCCTGCATGCCAACCCACGCTAGTGCGCAGCGTTCTCATTTCCTATCGTCCGCATTTTTTTTTGCTGTATCCAGCGCGATTTTCCGTGCTCGGCCCCTGTGCTGGCCGGGATCGCGTCCTCTTATTGCCCTGCACCCACCGCGCTCATCGATAACTCTGAGAACGCAGAGGTGCGGAAGGTGCACACAGCTTGAATCTTCCGCGCTCAACACGCGACCGAACGCCCCGCTGCCTACTCCGCGATCATAACACGGAAGATTACTGGCGAGAACAATCACTCAACCGCAGCGCGGCTCGGACCTCCGTTCCTCTGATGAGACGACGTAGGTCGAACGAAAAACAAATGAGAACACTCAGAGGATGGGCGAAACAGATGTTCGAGCGAAATTTTCAGAAAAAAATACCAAGCGCCGATTATATCTCAAGGGAAGTCGAGCTCGGAGGCGGAATGTGGACGATCCTGAAGGCTGGAGCTCGTTGCTAGAGGCGCGTCTCATCTTTTCTTTTATTTTCCCTTCATTACCCTTTCCTCCTCGACCGGATAACCGAAGGATCGGAAATGCGATGAGCATTTGTTTATCCTTTCAGCTCGTTGTCGGTTGTTTGTCAATGAAATGAAAGCCGCTTGCAGCAGGAAGGATATAGACGACGCGATGTGAGCGAACAGAAAGAGAGCCACAGACAGACGGACGGACGGAGGAGTCGCTCGGTCGGTCGAAAGTCACAAGAAAGATGGCTACAACTTCCTGAGCGCCAACTCAGTGGCTCAGAAAGACCAAGAGAGACGGGCACTGACAACGGCGGCGCCTGTCTCGGCCTGTTTGAGGCGGCGGCGGCGTTCGGTGGCCCGCCGCCCCCGGCCGAGTGGGTGACTGACCCGGCGCCTGCCGCGTCGGCAATACCTCATAGTTGTTTCCAGCCAATAACCCTAATTGTGGGTTTTCATCAAATTCAACGGTTCGTGGCTCCAGATCTTTCGGATCACAATGGGGACGTTTCCCTCGAGCTCCCCGGGGTCGGTTCCGGTTCCGGTGGTCACTGCCATTTGGCGCGGAAACAGCGAAGCACTGTTGGCTGCTCCCCTTCGGTCATTCTCGATACTATACTGAGAACGGGATGAGACCGACCGCGAAAACGTTCACTTGCAGATTGACCACGTGGGGAAGCGTTCCCCCTTGATGTCGATTCGTTTTATCGTCGGAACTTCGCGCAAGTCGATTTTCCCGCAATAGGGTCGTCTCCACTACTCCGAGCCCAAGAGATATTCGAACGGACTCGCGGGGAGCGAGCATGTGAGTTCGTGATCGGTTCTCGTTCAATCGGTGGGAGCCACTCGTCGTCGGTTTAGAGTGGCACTGGCGGGACTAACAGCCCCAGCGGTGGCGACAAGAATTATTTATGGCTATTCGAATTGACCGCTTCTTGCCCGGCCGGCTAGCCAGCCGTCCGTCTGACTGTGTGGCTTGGGGCTCAAGCCGAGAAGCGAAGCCGAAACAAGCAGCGGGGAGCGCAAGGGGCATGAGGAGATCCTCGTTCTCTGCTTTCTTCGCAGAGCCGAGCAACCCCCTGGCTTTTGTCGAGGCCGCATTGATGATATATGATGCGCAATACAAGACTCAGGTTGCGGACAAGCGTACGAGTGCCGTGTTCTTTCTGCCCGGATCGCCTAGAGGATGAGCAGCTCCCGCCGCCGCGGTTGCCGCAGCAGTACACAATGCGTTCCAGTGACGGTACTTTTCAGTCGGCGAGGCTCGAAAAAGGAGGCTCACGCCCGAGGACAAGGGGAAGCATCCTTAGTTCCTGCAGGGTTCTCGCCGGTTCCCCTCAAGTTCTCCGCAGGTTCTCCGCAGGAGGTAGCAGCCGCCAGACCCGGAGCAGCAAGCCGGCGCGCGAGACGGTGTCGTTGCACCAGCTGAAGGGGCTCAAGACGATTTTAGAGGTGATGGGTACGCCCCATCCCGACCTTTAGGCTGTTCGTGGTTGGTCCGTAGTTCTCTGATCGAAATGTGGACACACTTCGATTCGCGATGTCGACATCAGGTTCATGTCAGATCATTTATTTCGTTGCGCTTCCGAGACCAATGTATAACGCGCTCGAGAGAAAGACCCATGAGCCTCATGGACGAATAGACAGTCACAGTACCCATACGAAGAGATGTTCGTAGGGAGAAGTCTCCTTTCCGGGGAATCGCCGACAGAAGGAAAGCTCTCTCCGATAATGTAGAACGGTCGCGCCCAACATCCAAATCCCCTCAACAATCGTGAATATCGCCTCAGTCATTTATTACACATACTTCTGCTTTCGGGAGAGCTCAACCAGCGCAAACATTCCGGGAAATCCTTGAATCCCTTAGCCGGCAGCAATCGAATAAAAAATCGGGAACAAGTAGCGGGGAACATCGATGGTCACAAAGCCAGCCACTTCCGGGAAGGAGAGCGTACAGTATTTGGCCCAAATACGGGAGGGGCCGGAACTCTGCAAAAACTTCCATAATCGATACAAATCGCTACCGGCTTGCGGGAAATCAAGAGTGAGCTCAGAGCCTATCGCGTCTACTCGCAGTCATCGCTGATCTCGACGGAGCAGAGCTCTTTCCGGTCCCCCCCCCTCGAATTTTTCTGTTTTCCGGCGTGTTGCTCCCCTGTCGTCGCCGCCCCCGGAAAAGAGGCGCATAGCCTGCGAATTTTCCCGTGCTTCCCGCCGTCTGTCGTGGGGAATCGTTTCGGCGTTTCACTTCGAGATACGCCCGCGAGCGTCATAGTTAGTTTGTGCTCAACTTGAGTGAGCACTCGTCGAGTGGGATTATCGTTTACACATGGTCTTCAAACTTTACAGACGCTTCGACGTGGGAGATCGACTATTGACCCTCTCCCA